ATCATTCAACAATAACAAAGTGTGGCCTTCTTGGAGATGACACCGGTAACCATGGAAAATTACAGCGTTTTTCTGTGGTTCTCGCAAATTGACGAACTGAAACTGAAACGATGAAAAAAAATAAATAAATAAAAAAGTCATATCTATCGCAAAGAGAAATAAGGACAAGTAAAAGTGTTTTCTTCAAACTTTTTTGCAATGGTTTATTTGAAACAACTGTCACGTATATAAAGACCAGATGACGATGACTTCTAAGCGGCGGTGCGTCCGTAGTCGCTTGTGCCAGGTTGCCATTAAAACAGCAACACAACGTGCGTTTGTTTAGACAATGATGTCATGTGATTGGTTATAAACTTTCAGTTCAATGCAAAGCAATAAATTGATCCTGGTGATGGAGCGCGGGAATGATCAGAGAGCTCGTTAATGGTAACCTTCTGTAAAACCTCATATCAAATCACATAATTTCCTTTAATAGGAATAGAACTAAACCATTCAGAGACCACGGAACACACAGAGACAACTTTCCAATGGGAAACATTAGACTGTTGAAGCTTCTCCAGAAGTTTAAAAAAAGAGGCACATTTTCCTCCTGGAGATTCGCTTTTTCATCATTTATTAGAGCTGTTGACAGACAGCGTCTACCAGGTGTAGATCTGTGTCGGAAAAGGGTTAGTAAAGCAAGAGCACATGCAAAAAGGAAGATGTTTCACAACGTTGGAGTGACGGGAAATGACTGAGATATATGATTTTATGTCCTGCATGTTCTGTCGGACAAACCATCAAAACCAGGGAGGGCAGACGTTTGCAAGGATGTGGCTGTCTGGAGTTGACTGAGGCCGGGAGGAAAGAGGAGGAGGAGGAGGAGGGAAGGGAGTGTGGAGGATCCATGGGGAACACTGAGAAACACACACACACACATACACAGATACACACCCGCACTAGAACGCATATAAGGCTGGTGAGCAGATGATGTTAATTGTTAACAGAGGGGAATTAATCACAGAGACGCACAAAGACACTATTTCTTCATATCTGTCTGTGTAGTTTCTCAGCCTCAAAGATGTGTCAACATATCTTATAGGTCAGTGTTCTTTTCTTTTTTCTTTTTTTTTTTTTGCAGACTAACTTAAATAATATAATATGTATGTCTGTTTTTTTTCATGGCCCAATTCCTAATGAGCCATGACCGTGTACTGGTCCCCAACCCGGCAGTTGGGGACACCTTGTTTCAGGTGACATTTTTGTCTCCCGAAAGTTCTAAGACAGGCGTTCACGACTCGTCTCCCGATTCATACAATTTCAAGTCAAAAAGTTCTAAGACAGGCGTTCACGACTCAAAATCAAATATTCATAGCGAACCACTAGTGCAGTTGGGGTTTTTGTTTATTGTTCAATCCCACGGTTTATTTTTAAACAACATGGTGACATCATTACCCTGTTTCACTCAGCGGAGGTCCGACCTGAACGCTCAGTAATCTGATTCCTTCTTTGTCAGAGTCAGGTTGACCTGCTGCAACTTCTTCAGGCAGACTCAGCTGGACTCACTCCGACGTTCTACCTCTCCATGAGGTTCATTTAACCTGTGGGGACCTCTTCTAGGGAGAGGACGGGGGGAGTGGGGGAACTCTAGTAACCTCATAGTCTTGACAATGAGATTGAGAGAGTGTTGTTGAGAAGAAGTAAAAACAGGGGGAGAGAAAATCCATAGTGAGAGCAGGATGATGTTGGTAATTTCACTCTAATCCCTCTGGACGTTTGCAGGGTGTCCATGGATACATTCCACACTAGAGGTCAAGCAGGGTCACATACCTGCTGTCCATTATCAAGCAGTTCCACCCTTTCAAAGTCATTTTTAACATAGAAGTTTAGCTTCTCAAAATTGTAGATTTTGATTTTAAGGTGCAATACGTTGACAGTGACAGAAATCTGGTTTTGAAATAATATTTAATATAAACCCAATATTTCAAAAGTTGTGTGGTAACACACTGACAAATGAAAATGTTAAAGCATCTTGTCAAGATTTGCATTGACGTTTGAACGCCCAGGACCGCCACCATGCTTCTGATCATGCTATTGACGTTATTAAACGTTAGCCTGATCCACAGATGATTAGATTGTTGTTGTATGCGCAAAACCACATGTGCTTTCATCACGAGCTTACAGCAAAGACCACATCAAAGTTGGGAATAAGAGAAGGGGGTTAACATGGGTTGGTCTCCCCGTCAGGAGACAAACTACAATATATGAGTGGACAAGCCCTTCATCAATTTAAACATGTTTGTGCAAAAAGCAAGAGAATATTTTTATTTATTTATTTATTTATTTTTATAAAGACAAGTACTGGGTCGTGGACCATGGGTGGCTGCTCTGCTATGCCTGCGGCCTGAGGGGCTTTTTCACAGGGCTACCGTTAGCCTAGCCTAAAACTAAAGACATGTCTAAAACTTTTACTAAACTTATTTTCACTAGCATTAGGCTAACTTTATTTATTTATCAACAGATTTCTGGAATCTTTAGACCAATTTTACCACACTTTTAATCACATGTAAGTACAATGGGCTTTTTTCACATGCACTTAAGACGCTACCATGAAGTGCTACAGTGTTAAATTGCTTTAAATGAATTAGCATGAACTGCAGAGCTAAACAAAAGCGCTTTTTCTTTAGCAAATATATATTTATACTGCATATATATAAACAAAGCAGTAAATTGCTGTACAGTTCATATTAAACAGTAACTGTCATGTGACCTGCTTCTGTATTTTGCAGCCGTCCGTCCTGTTTTGGGCGTCGTTTTGTAACATATATCAATTTTAAACTATTGCGCGACGGAAGACTGGCTTTTTTCCCAAATGACTCACAACACCCTTGAGATAAAGTAATCAGTTGTTACCGAGGCCCACATATGGCTGTGGATGACAGGGCTTAGAGACACACTGAAAACACAGGCAGTGCTGACAGCTGCATATGGTTCTCAGAGCAGCACAGAAGGGGGTACGACAGTCAGTCAGTCTGTGGTAAAAAAAACAGCACCCTGGGGTCTTTGCTCTGCCCGCTGACACACTGTGCAACAATGTGTCCTGGATTCAGCACGAAGAAGCACTGCCGACTCTGGAGAATGACATCAGAACCACCACTTTTCCAGATGCCCCGTATATAAAAAAAAAACCCATGTTCTGCCTGATTTATGTTAAAAAACATCAGGCAATAAAGTCTGAAATATTTACAGGACATAAATATTTAGGATGTGACGTTTGATTCTTTTTTTTATTACAGTACATTCAAGTGCAGTACAGTAATAGTTCCATTGAATGGCTGTTTTTTAAGCTACGCCTGATGCATTAATAATAATAGAGTTTAAATACACCTTGTGTGATGGAAGGGCACAGATGATTTCAGCATCTATAAAAGTTGGTCTCAGAGCTTAAAGAGACTTTAAACAATCCTTTTACGAACTGTCTACAGACGCTTTGTCTGAAGGACCACGAACTATAGGAGCAGCCGACGGGTATGGGAAAAACCATGTGAGTGTGTGTGATAGAGAAAATGGTGATGTTTAAAACAGGCCCAGCAGACATGAAAGGCAGGATCTTGGAGAAAAGAAAGGCTTTTAAAAATTACCTCTGACCCACAGGTTGTATTTGTTGTGACCACGATCCAGCTGTAAAACACAGATCTGGACTTTTTCCATAAGCTTGACTTACGCAACGGTCACGGACCAGAAAAGGTCGAACAATGCTAGGTTGAGTCAAAAGGTTCTGAGACGGATGTTATCATTTCAGAACGCCTACAGACGTGTTTCTTAAGCGGGGGATGGCTGACAGATTTGAAAACAGTTATGAAATCAGAGTGTATTTACTGAACTTTAATCTGTTAACAATTTTCAAAGCATTGGTTTAGTGCAAGTTCATGTGTCCATACAATGGATTGGTAGTGTGGTAGAAAATGAATCAATTCCAGACTGATTTAAGCCATTCACAAGTTACTCAAAACTGACTTGAGGTGTGAATTTTAGTGTGAATGGTTGTGTCTCTATTTGCGCCCCTGTGATGGACTGACGAAGTTTCCCTAAAATGGATTGATAGAGTGGTAGAAAATAAACAAATGGATTCCAGATTGGTTAAAGTCTTTCACTAGTGACTCCTAATTGAGCAAAGGTGTGAATGTGAGCGTGAACAGTTGTTATAAAGCACCAAGGTCCATGTTTTACTGTTGTGTAAAAATCTCTGGTCAGTTTTTATACAGTACAGTGTGTTGCTTTTCTATTTTCTGCTGAGAATGTTACACAAGTATTGACTTCAGCTGCGTGCCCTGGTAACTGGATTTACCGTTAACGTCCACATCTGTGATGCATTAAAGCTTCAACTTCTCAGAGTTTACTGTGAACTGTACAGGAGAGAAAAAAAACCCAGAACAGGAAAATTTGGGGGGAAAAAAGTTTTTTTAGAGTGTTGTCATTTTATAAAACTTAAAAAAAAAGATAAAATGTCCGTGGCCTTCACAGTCAACAAATCAGAAGGTTGACGCTGCGCTCTAAAAATAGGCACAAAATGTTTGATTTCTCCAAAAATGGCAATACACCCTTGTGCACAATCTTATTTTAGTGGTTTTTCAAAGCAGGAAAACTGGGACTTATCTGTTGGAATATCCAGACTACTGCATAGGTTTGGAGGTTTACTAAGGTGTTGAGCCCTAAAAGAGAGCCTTATGTGATGTTTTTATTGCTCTCTCATCTTGTGGTTGTTTTCTTTCAACGCGTATCTGATGTGCATGTGAATTCACTGGGGTTATTTAAAGACTTTAATTTTTCACACTGACAACCACTAGAGGGCACTCTAGGCTTGTGCACCAGTATCTGCTTCTCCTGTACCACTGAAAATTTACGTTTGTTATTTTCACACTGACGGCCGCTAGAGGGCACTGGTGCGACTTATACTCCGGAGTGACTTATAGTCCCGAAAATATGATAGTCTGTTTGTCGACATCTGTTGAAATACACATTTGTATTTTCATTTGTATGCCTTGTCGCCACCAAAGGCCCGGTAGATGAATATCTTGGTACCGCACAAACTGAGAGAGAGTTCTTCAAGGACGGCAGCTCAGTAACACACCTTAATGGAATATGATCCGGAACATTCTCCCATCATACATCGCTGACAGCGACTCGAGCCTTCGCCATATGGAGCTCCTTGTTTGTTTGGTGGCCCGCAGCATTTTTTAGCAGTTATATCACGTCTTTATCAGAACAGCCTGTATCCCATCCATACAGATTGTGTGCACACACATGTTGGCACACACACATACATACAGTACACACACATACACATACATGGCTGACTGAGATCCCAGCATGCAGCTGTTGCATGGGGTTGAGTTGTCGGTCACAGTATCTTCCAGAATAATCAGTGGTAAAAAAGGTGACAAGGAGAACAGCAGTGTTACGTTACTGTAACCATCATCGCCATCACTTTCACCTTGGATCCAGGTCAGATGAATCCACTTTCAGTTTCAGTGCTTTCACTGCCCAGTGATTCGTCGTGTTCATCCAGCGGGTCTTTTATTCAGTCCAATAAATTACGTATACAGTAAATGTGCGCCGGAAGTTACCGTTAAACGACTGTTTACTCCCATCTGGTGGCCAGTCTCTGCAAGTACAAACAGGAATATTTTAATGCGTGACTATCAATTTTACAAAACAAAGATGCAAAAACAACAACCTTTTTTGTGTGTAAGCTGACGACGGTGTTGGGTTGTTTTATTTCCCATGTGTAGAAATCGCTACAAAGATTCCACCGGAAGTTTTGGGGACCTGTTGAGCCGTTACTATGGTAAGCACAACACGACACTAAGCCATCCGAGTCGAAACTGTGATTTTTTTTCCCTCTTTCAATTTAATTTAAATTCACTGCAAATTAACTCTGTACGGACACATTTTTATTTCACTGAGAGGAAACGTCGTCAAGGCGGAAAGTAAAGCGTGAAGACATTCAAAAGTAAGACTTTTACAGACGTTTCTTGTTTTTTAAAGAATGAAAAACAAAACAAACAAAAGAAATAAACAAACAAAGTAGATAGGCTTCTTTCGCACTCGATTACTCGTTCTAAATATAACGCTTAAAAATATTTAATTTACGTCAAAATAATTTAAAAATAGTATTAAATTAAAAAGGGAAACGTAAATTAAACACCGACGTGTAAACACGTGTATCACTTACTTGTCGTCTTTAGTCCAATAAGACGTGTTTTTGTGTTTTTTTACCTATGTATTTGATTAAAAATGATATTTCAAACTGTTGTTTTTTAACATGATGTTAATAATTTTAATAATATTTATAAACTTTTATGCTACTCTGTTTTTAATATTTATAAACTTTTATGCTACTCTTTTCATTATTATTTTAAACTCAATATAATACTAGCTGCCTGGTTGCGGTTTCAGGTTTGTTTTAGGTGGATGGTCTTAATTGTAATTTCAGTTAAAAAACGAAAAGTCCTTTTAGGCAAAATGTGTTTTGTGACTTTGGGCTACAGAAAAAAAAAATGACTCAAACTGGCGTAAAACACTTTGGACTTACACTTCTTCTTCTTGTAAGCTACATCCATTAAACCTTTTTTTTTTGTTTGTTTGTTTGTTTGTTTTTGCTAACATAACTTAACAGCATACTTAATAGATAACTTTTAAATGTTTAATCTACCATACAGTATTTTATTTGCCCATTAATGCAATTAACTTGATACATTTGAAAAAACACAATATGGGAGGATGTTCATATGACTTATGACTCATATATTTTTTTTACATAACATATTGAGTTCTCTATTAGTTTACATTTCTTATATTTGATGACAAATGCTACGGCTGAAAAGACTGTTTACATTTCTTATAGTTGTTGACAAATGCTACGGCTGAAAAGACTGTCTCTATTTTAAGTATTTGTTTCATTATCATATCTCTCTCTCTCTGTCTGATCTTCAGTGAGTCTGTCTGAAGAGGAAGTCAGCATGACATCCAGTAGAGGTGAAATGGAGGTGAGGGAACAGGTGAAGAACAAGGAGGAGGAAGAGGGGATGAAGGAGGACTTCCCTCTTGTGGCACTTGCACCTGATGCTTCGCTTCCAGAAGAGCAGCTTCCAGTCAGCACCGATGTTTGTGTTTGTCCTGTTTCCCGGTGCATTGATGAGGTAAGATAACACAGTGATGTTAACTGACTAACTTGTATGCTGGGAAGAAATACTGGGAAATGGAAATCATTGCATGACTGAGCACAATACAGTTTATTAGCTTGATCTTCACATACAGTGTACAGACATTAAAGTGACTGGCCCACAGTTTAGACAGAAATCCTGCGTAATTTCCCTCTCATGTTGCTCTCGATCCCTTCCTAAATGAGCGGACATCTTCTTATCCCTCAGATTTCACACCCACAATACAAGAAGGCAGACACTTCAGAGTTTCTACTCATGCTGAACATGTATACACACACGTATACACTCGTTTAAAGTTTGCTTCCATACAGAAGATGCTGGGAAAGTAGGCAAAATGGCATCAATGTTATGTAAAACTACCAAACACTGCAATGTACACAGCCTTGAACTTTATTCATATTTTTTAATATATATATTTTTATATAGAAAAGTGCATATCTTTTGGCATGACGGTTGAATATGAGCGATAGAAAAGATCCATATATTACAAAAAACGATGCTGCAAATACGCACATCTTCACCATGAATGGTCACGACAATGCACGGCCCTCGTCAACAATCATCACACTTTGTACTTTGTATTTGAACCATGATTTTATATATAAAAGCTATCGTAACCTCTCAAAAAAATAAAATAAATACTATACACATCCTCAACTTTAACACATCCGGTCCCATTCACAGTGTAGAAAATGGATTAAATGATGCTATGCCGCTTTCTAACGTTAGGTAGCAGTATTGTACAAGTGAAAAGAGGGGTTTTTTTTGTCCTTTTTTTAACATGAAAATTGGTGCTTGGCTTCAAGGGCTGTGCAGTAGTCCAGTGCACCCAAATTATGGGTGAAAAAAAAGGTTTTTAATACGTATATTCATAAATTTCACAGCAACGTCCTGTCTGTGGCTGCTGTCAAGCACAGTTTGCAAACTCATCCATCATGCACAACGTACTAAGGAATTGAGCCAGTACAAATTTATCTCAGGTTATCATATATTTAGACCAGGATGCTTTATGTTGTGTTGGATGATGGGACATTAATGACATGTCCTGCTGTAGTTGAATCAATGTCACAGAAGCAAATTGACTTCTTCACTTAGAGACTTTAAATAAAAATCTTGCTTTGCCTCGTCGTCTGCAGACCCTTTTAAGTTTGATTCCGACCCTGGCTCAGAGGCAAAAAGAACCCAAGATCCTGCACAAAACTGTAACATCAGCTCTCGTATACCTCACATGAGTGGTTGCTGTTAATTATGAAGCCATTTGGAGTGCAGAAAAATGATAGCTCATTAGTTTTTACTACTTCTGTGTGCTGCGCTGTGTGTCCTGGCTGGGTTTATAGCGAGAGGCAGCACAACAGGAACTGGAAATGTCAGAGAAGAATTGAAAAATCTCTGTCGGTAACCCTCCGTATAATATTACAGCTCCTGTAGGAGGCTGCCCTTTACACTGTGTGGTTTCTTTTTTTATTAGTCCATCATCGTTAATAGTCCATTTTCTTTTATTGTTATGATTGGAATACAACATTTCTGGGGCCACACACACACACACATACACACCACAGAATGAAAAAAATAATGGCACATTTAATTATTTTTTTTCTTCTCAACACCTACTGCATTAAAACTTCTGTGGGACTTTGAGTCTTTTTTAGTGTGCAGGTGTAGTTGAGGATGAATGCTTTAGCCCCCGAGGAAATCTAAACCGAAAGTTTTTCCTTAGTGATTTTATGCAGAGCAAAGGCTTTCTAACTATAATGATGAAAAATGCTCAATTAGGAATCGTACGTTTTCCCCCACTTTTCATTTCACATTGAGAAGTTTTTTGATAAACTACAGATCAAACCAGGAGATTTTTTTGATAAACTACAGATCAAACCAGGGGCGTGTGTTGACATGATGTAAGTCTTTTGAGTGCTTACTTTTTAGATTGTCACGACAATTACGAAAAAGAAATGAGAATCACAAAGCACGAGTAAGATAGGCTGGGCTGAAAGAACGCAGCTGTTGAGAACTGAACAATAATACTGAGGTCAGACAGATCCATACAGAACTTTAGAAAGAAGACTAGTAAGAGATTTGACCAAAGGTACCGATGCTCTACTGAATGTCTTAGAGCCAGAAACGAAGGGATTCAAAAATAGAGCATCACCAAAGTACCAGATAACAACCAGGAGATTTAAATATCTGACCCAAATTTTGCTAAAGACACGTAAATGCAACCTGGAGAACAATAGAATCAAAAAGGAAGTCGTATTTCTTCCAATCAGACACAACAATATATCTGACCTATATTTTGAAACAAGTCAAGAGAGGCATTTAACCCAGAGAACACCATCCTCACAGCGAAACAAAGAAGTTTAGGTTTGATATGTGAAAGGAACTGGAAGATAAAAGAAGACTACTGTTTCTACTGCGTAAAACATTCCTTGCTCTGTATAAAAGCTCTATGAATCATTTCTTGAAGGGGGGGGCAGGGGTATTAATTAACTTTATGCCTGTGTGTGCAGGTCCAGGACAATGCACATGTGTGAGCTTTAACTCAAATTGTTCTACTTTTCTGTCCATGTGACTATACCTTTTTTTTTACCTGTCCTCCTAAGGAGCATAGTTTTTGGGCCGTATCATCATCTTAACCGTTTTGAAGGCCTGTCTGTAGTTGGTGGGGTAGTACTCCGTCGACATGTTGTGCCACGTTCCCCAGAAGATCCCGTTTCTGACTCCTTTGTACCTCTTGTGGTAGTACTTCCCGTTGAGATTGGCGGACATGCAGGCATCGAACCACCAACCGGAGCTGTAGTAGGCGCCGCAGTTTCCAGAGGGATACATGTCATTGTCGCGATCAGGCGTAGTGAAGAACTTCTGGTCGTGGTTAAAGTGCTTGTTGAAACTGATGGCATTTCCAGCAGTTCCACTGAAATGACACATGTTCAGTGATTAAACAATTTGACCTTTGACTTTGGTTCCACATTGAATTTAAATAAACAAAAACTAAGTGAAATTTGATACCTGTATCCACTGATTGACAGACGGTAGCGGAGGAACTCGTTGGACACGTAGAACTGGTCGAACTTTGCATATTCCCGGACTCCTTCAAAGTCCTCCAGCTCAATACGCAGAATCATGTCTTTGGCCTTTGTCAGCAGGTGGATGTGGTCGTTGCCCAACCAGAACTCACCTCTGCGTGAGAAGAGAGTAAAATTAGAGGAAAGGTTGTCTGTAAGATGCCGATTCTCAACCACCTTGTGCCGTGTCAGTGTGCTGTGAGAAATCCACAGAAATCCATATATGTTCCATATATTTGCACAAATGTCAATGAAATTCTTGATAAAAGAAATTATGGATTTTTTTTAGTTTTTTATAGTGACATGTTTTTAGACTTTATTGATGAACTGTACAGTTGGCAGTCATATTTTCTTAACTTTATGATTATTGGTATGGTGTTTTGGGGAATAGTTTTGGCAAATTCTGCCACATTTGTTGCATTTTTTCATTGAGTTTTGAGTCCATCTGTCTATGACTTGGTGTGTCTTGGTGACATGTCATTTCATCAGCATTTTACCACAGCACATTCAACAGCTGAAGGTTTTATCTGATGTTTGACTTTGGCTTGACAGACTAATGACCATGTTGAGTGTTTTTTCAGTGTTGTTTTGAACATGGGAATCCATCGTTGATGATGAAAAACAGGTGGTGAAAAACAGCAAACAGGTGGTGAATAATCAGTGATAGTGAACACAGGTTTGCCTCATTTGGCTGCTGGGACTGGATTCTTACATGTAGTTGAAGCAGGGGAGATGTTGTGTCTCCATATGAGATATATTTACATTATTTTGACACACTTGTGCACCCCGACGACTGCCTGAGGAAATAGAAGCTTCCAGATAAGAGAAAATATAAAGACTGTCACTTCCCTTTAACAAATGTTTGACACTGGGGTGTTGCAGTGGGGTTTTTTTATTTTTTTTTATCATCATTTTATGAAATTGTGGCTGACTTGTTTGTTTCTTGGTGTGCTGAGTTTACCACTTTCTCTCACTATGAATTATCTCTAAAATGTACTGTAAGAAAGTTACAGAGTTCAGATCCGTGACCTTGTGTCTGACTCTAGAAGACGGATCGAATCAAATCCATTTCAGTGCAATTTGATTTAAAAAAAATAAGGAAAAAAACAAGGTGCGGTACCTGAGGCTGCCGAAGCCCTTTTTATACTCTGCCCAGGTGCGGTTAAAGCTGACAGAGCCATTAAGTCGCTGCTGAATCACAGTCCATCCTCCTCCATATGACTCCATGTCACAGAAAACATCAAAAGTTCCATTGCGGGGATCAGGGGTCACGCCATACACGCCGTTCTTCCTCGTCTCCAGCGCGTTGTAGTCAGAACATTCTCTCGGGGCCAAGATGACTGCAGAGAGATGAGAACAAAGCGGGAAAAGGATTTTTAGAAGGGCTTTAATGGTATTTAACATGAAGTATTTGATTATTTTTTTCACATAACCTCAGAAACAGCGCTTAAGGCTTGGAGTTGCAGAAAAATGTACTAAAGTGACATTTTATTTTATTTTTAACTTTTGTTCTGTTTCTCTTTGTAAAACAGTCGGTTCCCAAGCTTTTCTAACTTCCCCCTTCCTGTTTCTAAAAACTCCTGTACATATCAGCCTACTCCTCCACTTTCCAGCCAGGTACCCTTTATCTTAAAATCATATTGAGGATGGGAACGGTCCAAGTGGAAATAAAATATATATGAAAGGACAAAGTCCAGTGTCAGGCCATAAGTCAGGGAACATCCCCTGAGCTGTGCCACAGTCTCATTTCAAAAAGCTCCTCTTTCTCTTCAGACGTCTCCTTTCTTTCTCTTTGTACTTTCCCTATTTCCCCATATTCCTCCACATCTTCGCTCAATACTCTGTGCTGCAGCGCTGGCCACTGACCCATCCCGAATTGGAGGTCCAAAAGCCCCTGTCAGTTAGCATTTGGCCACTGAAAGGAACAGACTTGTCAAAATGTGGGAAAGTGTAAAAGTGGATTAGAGAGGCGTACCCCCCTCCCTGCACGTTCGACACCTGGGGCCTAAATCATCCTGACGTCGGGCAGGCAGCATGCAGAGTCTTCCTGAGTTTGAGTCTCCCTGCGGTTGATACGGTTTTGTTAGACTGTTAAATCAATTTAGAGGTTTAATAGGTTATAAAAGCACGGGCGGGGGGGCATATGTACATCAGATTTCCTATGGTGGAGGCAGAAGTCTACATTTTAAGGATGGCATAAGATGTTGGGGTTGTTATGGTACCCTGCTTTTCAATACCGTCTTTTGCAATTTTTGTATGGTGACTCCTACCAACCCGTTTCAAGTGAGCTGCTTTTACACTATTCATGATATTTAGTCCAAGTACCAAACTGTTCAATGTAACTTCACATTAAGTCCGAGCTAGTTCCCGGAGCTCTGGGAGTTGTTGAATCGTATGATGTGAAGGTTTAAATCGAGCATTTTGAAAAATGGAGTCATGTCCGAGCATTTAGAATTAAGTTTACTCCCCAGAACTAAAAATATGGAGAAAATCTTATGTCTAATCCTTGGGATTTGTGATTTAATTCCAGGTCAAGAAAATTCCGTTAGTAGCTCCTAGATTTGAGCCCCAAATAAGGTTTGGAAGTAAGAATATAATGGTGTTTATGTGAAGTCAGGAGTCACACACCTGAGTAGTGTAACGTTCAATGACCACACAAATTGTCACAGTATATACAGCACCCTCTGTAGGTAATTGTTCTCTAAAAAGAACAGTCTGGGAGTTAAGTGTGTGGCCAACATTTACCCTTGTCACGTAAACAGCTTTGGCCGCACTTGGCATTCACAGTATTGACCTGTTGTTTCTTCCAGTGTCTCCTTCACTTTAAGTGTCGACCTGGACTTTCTCCACTCACACATCTCCCTCTCGTCGTTTGTCTCCATCTATCTGAGCCTGGCTGCCAGTGTCCCAAGACAGACATGAGCCAACCTCATCACACTCCCACTGGCACTGAGCCTGACCTGAATAACTTTGATATCAGCCACTCACCAATGCCCAAATGACTGTTAGCTGATTGGCTGACTCACTGTTGAGCTGGCTGAGTCAATTGACCCAGCTGATTGCTTTGTGTGTCCCCGTGTTCGTGTCATTTCCTCGAGTCTCACGCTGTCCTCCTCCAACCCGACAGCAGCTTTGACTGATGAGTTTTAATGGACTTTCTGTCAATCTGACGGCTCGAGTAAAACACGACTTGTTTCGCTCTTGACGTATAATAGGAGTCAGCCGCATTATCAAGGCCATATTCAAAGAGATAACTGGTCTAAAAGTGGCACATGTGGATGTAAGGAAACGTGTATCCAAACTGATAATATAATCTTCACCAACAAAAACACCTCAACACCACTTCTGTCACTCATCGCCCTTCCTTCAGGAAGCTGTCTTCGTATCACAAGAGAGCAGTTCCTGGCAAAGAGAAGGCGCTCGCCTTTAAAGACGGGGCTGTAGCAAACATGAATTGCTCTTTATTCACCTCAGGTAGACTTTTATGGCAGTAAATGTGAAGATTAGTGCTTGCAGCAAGAGCTAAAAAAAAGTACAGGCAGCACCGCGAGCTGTGAGAGATAAACGGACCTTGACAATTGCATTATTATTCCTTCTTGATGGTGAAATTGCCTATACACCAGTGTTTTATTAGCGACATGTTCCTAATCAGCTTTTCTGTTTTTAGGCTCTGAATGAAATGGTGTGGATAAAAGGATAAAACGTTCGAGGGGAAAATGACATTTTCCGAGTGTCCTCAGATGCCTCTGACTGAAGCCAAAATGCCTCCGTTTTGTTTGAGCTCTAACATAATGGTCTGTACCATTGTCACTCTAGTTTCTAGTTCCTTGCACATGTAAGTCATTAAACGTTTGCATGCCAATCATCCATCACTACAGCTCCCTGGAGATGCGGACAAACATCTGTCTCTGACGATGTCTTCCAAAATAGTCACATCAGCTTGTCTGCCTGGTTTGCATCAAGATGAACATTTGAGTTTGTGTTTTTGCAAGTTCTCTTTCACCAAAGATGATACAAAGCGGAATCTGAGCAGTTTGTATCCGATATTGGCAAAGCCTTTAGTGGAGTTATGCCTTAGTCAGCATGTTTTCACTACAGCATTAATTGCAAAAAGTGAGACATCATTTCAGTATTGAGAGGGATGAGAGGAAATTTTACTTTTCTTGCCAAAACGGGATTTAATTAGCTTTGGCATATAAAATGTTTGAGGTTTTTTTTTTTAATCTCTTGGATCAAGGACCATTAGTCTCATGATGTAAGACAAGTGCCCTTGTTTATTTTTCAGGTTTACAGCAGCAGATGATTTTTGTCTCTGTTGAAATTCACCCAGAACTTAGTCAGAGATGATTTCCAAGAGAAAGCCTGAAAGAGTGATGTAGAAAGACAAGTGTTTTGACCCTGTGTTCTGTACGTGACTAATGTTGGGAGAGCTGCCTATATTACTTGTGTTGTTGGCAGGAGGGAAAAAATGAGTTATTAGTTTTATGCAGGAATGAGCACTGAAGAGCATGACCTCCCGAACAAGATGGGTCAGAGGAGAGGAAGAAGAGAAGGGATTAAAAAAGAGAGGGTTGGGGGGGGGAGGAACAGCAGGGTCAGGGTAAGAGGAGATAAATTAAAATTGAGATATGAAGAGCAAGTGTGTGGTGGGTAAATCCATAAGAGAAAATGCAAATCTCAGGAGATTTGAAAAAGAAAGAGGCCAGTTTTCAAAAATAAGGAAGTGAAAACACCTGTTTCCCTTATATACCGACCTTTTCATGAAATACTGTAGCTCACTTCTGTTTCCGCATGAAAGCCCCAATACATTAACAATGCATACAGCACATACAACAACAACATTAATGTTTAAAAATGTTTTAAGAAGTTTGTCTCACAATCCCTGCTACAGACGTTGAACAGACAGATGAACCTAAACAAGCAGTTAATCACCAACTGTGGACTGAAGTGCTAACAAAATGGCAGGTGGGCTAAACATAGCGTAGAGCACTGCTTTTTGTGGTGCTGTACACCTGCAAGAACAACAAGATAAAACATTGCCTCCAGTTTTGAAGAAAACTTGAAATTTGCTTTAATTTACATTGATAAATATAAAAAATGTTGTATTTCAAGTTTTATATTTCCAATATTTTTTATCTACTAAATTGCTCTTATTATATAAGCTGATCTTGCTAACACCTGCACCTTTGTCTTCTTCTTAGAAGCTTGAAGGGCATCTCTGTTTAAACCTTGCAGATTCACCGTGTGATGATTCCATGGCATATTTGTTTAAAGAAATTGCACCACACTTGACCTTTAATCTTAGCCACCTTGTAATCAGAATCAGAATGATATCTCCAAGATTAATTTTCAGAGCTAGGCGTTTGTGTCTCTGACAGTTATTTTTCTTCCATCTGTAGTTATTCCATGTGGAAAGTGTGTAATATCTGAACTTTTATTATATAACGGGCCCTTCTAATTCCCACTTTGACCCCAGTCCCTGTATTGCTTCACTCGTGTCCAGTATGATCTAAACCTTAAAGAATTTTGTTGTTGTAATTTCTGCAGCGGCTTCAGTGAGTTGACAGAAGGAGTTGAAATGGTTTTCCTAGTAAAGTTATTTTTTATGGTAGTAGAAACTGCTTTCCTGAATAAATGAAGTCATTATAGCATGTCATAACAAGTCCATTACATGAAAAAGGACGCTGTCAGCATGGAAAATTTCATTTCCTATTTCCTTCTAGGTGATTACCCAAGGTTGCATTATTAGTGGTGATTACATGTTGACATTTCCCTGTCGGCTAAACTACATCGACTCTGTAGCAGAAATCTCATCTCTCAGCTGCCAGAGCTGCTGAATATGAGATACCACGACATCTGTGGTGAATTTGTGGGAAAAGACGATGAGAGTAAGCATGTTTCGTGATCACGCTTCTAAGAGATTAGGGAAAAATGCATGTGTGCAGAATGAAGAAATGCTTTGAAATGAGGGACTGTCACAATAAAACGTAACCCAACAACAACATCTAAATGAATGGTGCAGTCAAACAAATAGTTAGAAGCTGATCTGACTTACACTGTGGGGAATTCTGAAATGCACAATGCGATGTGCAGGTGGAGCTGAGCTTGTTGACCACCCCAGTGAGGTTCTCCACTCGTCTGTCCACTACGTCTTGCACGTTGTCCATGTTAAGCAGGCTGAGCCCCTCCAGGCGACCCTGCAGGGCTGTGATCTGATTCCTGGCGTTGCGCAGGCTGGCTGACATCTTATTCAGCTTCACCTGAGAAGGGCCAGAGACGAGAAGAAGTAGTAGATAGCGGTAGAGGAGAAGGGGTGGGGTGGTGAGGAGGGGGTTAGTCTTTGCGCACTGAATACAAAGCAGGTGGATTCCTGAAGTAACCCATCTCCTTCATTGTTCCCCCGGACAATTTGAATTTTAAACAGAAACAACTCTGCGACAGCGCGGAGACTGGACACCTGCCAAAAGTGGCTGAGAAAGTCAGCACGCTCCCCAGACAAGGGAGAATTTATGGTTCTTTGGCCAGCGTCAGAAAACCGATTCCCCACCCTGTTTACCAAAAAGGGAATTTTTTCCCGGTAAACTGGTGCCAAGTATGACCCATGAAGTGCTTTTAGCGTTTGAGCAGTTTACATTCCAGCTGGGTTCATTTGAATGGGCATGTTTAGATGGATCTGTATACAGAACTGGAACAGTTCAGTTTACTTATATAGATAGGTAAGACTGATGTTTATGTGGGGCTGAAAGGTTGTTTGAATAGTTTTGTTACTGGCATTCAGTTTTCACAGAACTTATGTATACAAACGTGTCTTAGTGATAACAGCCTTTATTTCTTCTATACGTCTTAAGTTTCTTACCTGCATCTCCTGCATCGTGCTTGGACTTGGGGATTGCTTTCCAAAACCTGAACCGTGTCCCAGTCCAGTACCATCCACAGAAGTTCCGGGGACCATACCATCCCCCCTCTCCTCAAGACTTGACCCACCTAGCACTTCTTGTCCTGTCAGATCCTGTCTCACTTCTTCTCCAGCATCCCTCTGCACTTCAGCCTGCTGCTGTCCAAATGCTCCACTGCCCCGCGTGCCGCGGCACTCGTGGCATCCACTCCGTAGCTTGTTCACTGCCTCTTTCAGACTCTGCACCTCCTTAATGGTCTTTTCCAGCAGCCTGAACTGCTTGGGCAGCTGGATGGTGAGCGGGGGCAAGGTGATCTGGTATGGACACTCTTCACCTTCATCTGCCCCAGAGCTCACACACTGGCCAGAGGGTCTCAGCTTCATGGGGCAGGAGGCAGGTGAGCTGGATTCAGATCCCAAAGTGTAAGGTCCTTTAGCATCCCATCTCTGGTGCGAGTTGGCAGGGAAGTCCGCTGCGTGGCCGCTGGTGGCAGCCAGCAGTAGAGTGGCACAAACGCACAGCACACTTGTCCTCATTCTTCTGCGTAACAGGAAAGAAGTGTAGAAACCGAAAGAGTGAACAACTGCCTCTGGTGTAGAAAAACAAAACTCCCAACAACTGTAAATGTGTATCTTTCACTATGCGAGCAACTGTCTGTCCACAATCCTACGGTTCAAGAGTGTAAAGTGTAGTCTGCAGGAGGGAGAGAGCGCAGAGAAACTGCCGCTGCCTCAGATAGCTGTGTCATTAATATCAGGAGGAGTGAGAGAGAGGGGAAGGAGAGAGAGAGGGTGGGAGAGAGATGGCACAGTGCTGAGTTTTTAAAGGTTGGGAGGGGCAGCTCTATTGCGTAATGTAAAACACCATATCAGCAGCATTGTGAAAAAGCACAGATGCGGGGGCTGGTGGGGGTGTGGATGTAGAAGGGGGTGGTGATGCAGGGTAGGAGGTGGAGAGAGAAAAGAGGGAAAAGAGGAGCCTGCAGGTGGTGCATGGTGCCTTACTCTAGAGTCAGGTCATTTCCTTGGAGAAGATGAAATGAATCATTGCACAGAAACAGCCAGTTCAAATATGTTTTTGGACGAGTGTCTGTTTTTGTGGTCCTGGTCTTCACCCTCATCAGTTTCCAAATGTCTTCTTCATGCCTAGGCTTCTCCTTGCAGGTCCAGATTAGGATCACATGACCACTTTTGAAAGCCAAATTATTGTTTGATCAAAACCATGCTTGATGTGTCATTACTGACTCTTTGTGTTGTAATAGTGCAATGACTAAGAGTTCATGGCAACACTTTTGGCTGGTAAAATTCCACTGAAGGCAGTTCCTATAGCTTTTCTCAGAATGCATGACGTGTGCTCAGAACATTGTGCATTAAGTGTAAGATTCATTAGTGTTATAAAATAAATCAGTTTTTCCTGAATCCCATTTCACATCTTTGAATACTAAGTGCCTGCCTATACCCTGCCCCTGATCTGATTTATATTTTATAGCGTAATACACATGCAGAATGTTCATCTTATATGACTCTCACTGAATACATCTCAGTACTGTTTAGGCAATGTTGTAGCCGATGCCCAAGAATCATTAAAACCTGCCATTTGATTGCTCGTCACAGAAATGTGTCTTCCTGAATTCTTCGGCTTGTCCTCCTGACTGACAACTTAATCTTCGACATCCTTTGTCCAATGTATTCAGTATCTTTCCTCAGAACTTGTCTCAACTTTGCCTCAGAGCAACATTATCTCCAAACTACTTTATAATCCTGTTCCTCCTGGTGCCTCCTAATAAAACCCTGAGCACTTTAACTCTTTTAAATCCTGTAGCTGGGCACACTTTGATCTTTCCTTTCATTCTTGCCTTCATCCCGCTGTTAAACTGCTGTCCAGAGTCAGTCAGAGCTGATCCATGACAAACCCTGTCTCTACCCTGTACCCATCTGTCTCTCCGACTGCACAGCTTTTGTCTTTGTACAAGTTCGGCACCCATTTCACATACTTTTCTGCCACATCTCCACATAATACCAGAGTATCTCTTTTGATCTCTTTTTCTGCTTTTTTTTAAGATGTTGTCTGTGGCACTTAATGTCTGTGGTCTATGAACTTTCTGTTTTTGATACAGGGTAATCAGGGGCATTAGGGGCTGTCTTCCTTTGAAAAGTTACAGGTCTGTGTGTCAAAAGATTTCCTTAATTGCGTTTCAAATTAAAGCCGGGTTTAATAACATAACATTCATAATGAAAACCTGTTTAAATCATCACCGTGTATTTTCTACCTGAAGAGACCCCTTGATAAAGGTACCAGAAATGTGTTTCCATAAAATGGAACCTTAACCTTCTGTTAAAGCAAAAGGATCATTTGACTTTAGGAACACTGTGCAATTTGTGTTTCATGGCTATTCTATCAAGAAATGATGTCATTCACACCTACTGGTCCTGCAATTTAACCAGTGGGTGTGATTTTTTTTTCCCAACAGCAGATGTCTCAAAAACATGTTCGTGTTCTACAGAAATGACCCCATTTTGGGAATCATCTCATTCGGTTCCCCAGTTCTGAAGAAGAAAAAAGAAATATCACGGCCAAAATACATGAGATCAACCCATTACATTTGGCTGTGGTGTCCTCCCGTCAGAAAGAAAATGAGATCCTTCTCAGGAGGTGGTGGATCTGCACACAGAAAGATGGTTTTCTTCATCACACACTGGAATGGAGCTGTGTGCCTCCTGGTGTTGATCATTACTTTTTGCCCTGAGGGTGCAGGCTATTAAAGCCCACAGCTTCTTTTTTCTGTTGCGCACTCATTCACTGAAAGGCTCTGGCAGCGTAGGAGAAGCTGACAGGTCCTCGTGGCCATGTGCTTGCATAAATATCTCCTGGTGATTGTCTGTATCACACTTCAAAGATGCAGTGCCACATGTGCGCCCTTGCCCTGGAAAAGCCTTCAATATTTTACACCGCTAAAAAGATAAGTCTCGGTAACTGAATTCAGACGGGCTGTCGGAACACTCTCCAGGCTGCCACTCTCAGATATGTCCCTGCTGTTTGTCTGAGATGTCTGCCCTGTCACTGATATGCCATGTATGTTTCCAGACACATAAAACTGCCCTGTTTCAACTCAGTGAGATCATTAATTAGTTTTCCCCGAAGACGATATCACATGGTTTGACAAAAGCTGTACTCAACAGGGATCAAATAACATCAAAAGAGTAAAGGGTTTTCAACAACACAGACCACATAATGGTGCTCACCTTGTGGTCAGGTGACCTTGAGGGAAAAGGGTTTTCAACAACACAGACCACGTAATGGTGTTCACCTTGTGGTCAGGTGACCTTGAGGGACTAATAATCCTCCCTGAATGGGAAACAGAATGAATCATACGAACAAGAGTCCTAATCTGTGTCATTCACCAATGTAAGTCTTCATCCTCTCAGTCCTCCACACGGGGTCTTTTGACAACAGAGAGATAAACATAATGGAACGACATAATCCCCAATGTTTGAAGTCACCCACAGATATCTGGCTGTGTGTTTTCCTGTGTGTGTCCTCAGATATAGCAGCTCTTTGATACAAGCGAGGCTATCCCTCATTACTCCCAACCTGGCTCTCAAGATAAGAGCAAAACAACACGTGTCCTTTGTTTCTATCACTTTAAGCCCACAGAAAGAAAATCCACTACAACTCCGGCAGATAATTCAGTTTTTGTTTGTTGGGACTTTTTTTGCTAAACTTTTTTTTTCTTCCTTGCTATCTTTTTCCGTGCTGTGTTTTGTTGCTCGGTTTCCACCGAGACATTGCAGCTGTGAATCTGGCTTTATCTTCCTTTTGTAAATCAGACCTTACGCTACGTTAGTTATTTATGAGTCATTTTCAATAATTTGTCCTCCCCCTTTGAGTCTGCGGTTGGCACAGATAAGGTGTTCTGATACGGGGGAAGATAAATGTCTATTTGACCCCACTTTGGTTGAAAGTTTGCTGTGGCTTAGATGGATAAAAGGAACTAATTCAGCTGATCAGCATCTTATGGCTGCAACAAAGCTCTTTCTTTTTTTTCGCCAAAGAGCTAAGCTATTGTGAAACCTAAAGCTTTTGGTTTCTCCTGGGATCAAGTTTTAGAACTTCTTGAACTTAATTTCATCACAAAACAATATTACACAAAACTGCTTACAGTTACTGTAAGAACTTCCATTTCTAGCAAGAGTGCCCAGCTGCATTATTTTATCCAGGAGAAAGAGTGGGGGAAAAAACGGTACCAGGAGATTTTACAGTATACTGTAGCTTTTATACCGACAGCTCTGGGTCAGATCAAAGACTCTGAAATATTAAAACCTGAGCTGGCACCCTGATGAAGGAAAATCTTTAACCCACGAAGCCAAACAATTTAGGGCGGCTGCAATGTTTGGATTCCGTCAGCTGGATTGTCCAGATATGAATGATCGACAAAAGGAAATGATTGAAATCCAGTCATTTAGGAGAAATATTTATTATTAGTCCATTCCAAAGTCTGGCTGTAGGACCAATTGTGGCACTTCAATATCGTAATAGTGGCCAAGATGTATTTTTTGTTTTGAATTGTGGTTCTCTTTTGTAAAATTGATTTTTTTACTTAGTTTTAGTTTAGCTCATTTTTACTGTTTTGGGGAAAAGATACACTCTGATTCATTGTTAATTTTGAAAAAAAAAAATCAGAAATGGAGTAGCTTGAATTTGCCAGTAATATTGTTCAACTGCAAATCTGCCAACAATAGTTTAAACCACAGAGAGCGATATCACCTTTGATTATTTAGGAAATTGTCCTGCCCACTACTGTCTGTAGGTTGAAGCTACAGCTCTGCTATTGTACGACATAAGTAAATAAAAACGTGTGAGAAACTTGTCACTGACACAGTATTATGACAAAGCATTGACTTTTATTTTAAAACAAACCAAATGTTCCTCATGTGCATCGTCTCTGATCTTTCTCAGTTGTTGTTGTTGGACCAGATCGACACGACCAGAGTAACCAGACTGAAAACCAGCTACAGGCATCTGCAGGACACTCTGAAGTCGTAAGTGTCCCCGTTTGACCTCACTACACAAGTATATATTTGTGTTTGCAAGGATGCAGAAAGTAAAGTAAAGTACATTAGAGAAATAAATAGGGCGTCATCCGTCCAGAAGCCAGAGTGCAAGCAACAGAAGTGTCCTTGAAAATGTATTAAATGCTTTATCAGATTTAGTTATGCAGCTCCTATATACAGTTTAGGGGGAGGGGGAAAAAAAAAACGATGAAGCATCTGTGATATTACCCCCTGGCTCTTTAGGAGACAGTTTTACTATAGTGAAGCCAAAAAACAAGATAGTAATTTGAGCAAAAAGCTGGTTGCAGGTGTGAAGCTCAGGCAATATGATCTGAGATGCAGCCACTGCTGCTCAGTGTAATACTCCAGGTTAGCTGTCCAGGACTTGCCCCAAAGCACACTTCCCTTTAAGCTTCATTAAATTCATGAACAGTGACTCTCATAATCCCTGCCAAGACACATAAGAGGGAAGTGAAATTAACTTTCAACACCCACATTTTTAGTGAAGGTGATAGGGAGGGAAAACAGTGAATATTGTATTTAATTGGCTCCTTATTCCAGGTATATCTTGAAAATCACATAATCAACTGTGTCCACATGTCTTTTTTGCACCATTTGATGTACATTGTTAAAGACAATTCACACTAATATTTTACATTTTAAAGGAAATAGTAAAATAAAATTGTTAATGCCCTGAAAATGTAAGTTTTAAGGGCTGTCAAATGTATGCTTTAACTGGTATAATTATATTCTGAATTATTAATTAGTCTCTACTCTAGTAGAGTTTTTAATACATTTCGACATGTTGGGGCAGAAAGACCGTCCTACTTCCATCCACTTATTCAGTATCCTACTTCCATCCACTTCAGTACTTCAATTCAGTACTCGTTATTTGCACATGCTAGTCCTACTTCCATCCACTTATTCAGTACTCGTTATTTGCACATGCTAAAAAACACCATAGCTCTCCAGCCTAAGATAGACTGTTTCTGTTCTATAATTTTTAATCAAATATGGATTATTCACACATTAAAACAGGTGTGAGACACATGGATCCACCTGTGGTTATTTGCCTTTCTGTAACAGCAATATGCTGTAGGAATGTTGATTTATCTTGACTATTCATGGTTAATTGTGATTAAAGGTGAATAATCCACAGCTGCCCCTCTGATTAAACAGACTACAGACCTGGAGCCAGTGTAAATGTCACTCGGTATGTTGCGTTTGTTTTGCTCTAACCTCACTTTGAAATAACTGTTTGTTTCACAGTAGTCAGGACTGTGAGCTCCAGCGTTTGGAAGAGGCAAAAAGGTGTCGTGCTGAGCTGCAGAGAGTGCACGCTGAGCTGGAGAAAACAGAGGAGCAGAGCACCTCCGAGGAGCCTGAGAGTGAGGTCAAAGAACTGAGGCAACAGCTCCTTCAGGCATACAATGAACTGAAGACTGCCGAGAACACAGAGTACAAAACACAGCACCAGCTGAAGTGGTGAGCCCTCTGTGCACACACTCCACCAGGATGCGGCAGTAAAAACATGCAATCATTGCAATTGCTCATGCCAAAAATTAAATTTTGAGACACACATTCAACAACAACAACAAAAACATTCAACAGAGAATACTTTCTTTAAAAAAAAAAAGAAAAATCACATTTTGGTAAAAAGCTTAAATTCTAGGCTCTTTACACTTTCACGTACAAGCTTCTATACACTAAACAAGAAGAGGCTTAAAGTGGAATTACATTTCTTTTCACCTGAAAAAAGAAACAAGAAAACTTTTATCTGAATCTATTTTAAAAACATCAACGGCTTTTGAATTCACGAGCATAGAAAAGGCGTAACTACGCCTTCTAAGGGTGTTTTCATCTTTTATTCTTGAAGCTTCTGTTTGCTCACCTTGATTGCTGACCAGTCAAATGAGCTGTCATTGTTTGCTATACTATGTTAACAAATTCACCAAATGTCATAAATCTGTCAGTTTTGAGTGCTTAAATGTCCGAGTAAAACTAAAAATAGGTTTTTATAGTTCACTAATTCCTAAATTGTTCCCCTACCTGTGCCTTCTTTTCTCATATTTATGTCAAGGCTGGGGTGTGAACAGACAATTCTGAGTAATATTTTATGTCTAACTGTGGTAGTCATGCATCCTGTTGGGGTTTTAAATCTGTTTACTCCCTGCACTTCCATCATTTTCACGTCAGTCCTCTGCTTGTTTTTCTTCCTCTCTCCTTTTCCCTCTCCTCTCATCGCAACATTTTTCCTATTTTTCTGGTTTCCCCTTTAACTCACTCATCACAATCTCTCATCGCATCATTTTTCCTATTTTTCTGGAGCAGGTTTCCCCTTTAACTCACTCATCACAACTGTCCGTGCATCCAAAGGGTCAGACACACCCACCGAAAAGGAAAATAACATGTTCACCCGAACACACTATCGCACTCTCTCTCCCCACTCTGTATGCAAACTTGTCGGTTTCAGCGTCTGGTTACAGCTGGTTTTTGGACCATTGCTTAGTAACGTGGTAAAACATGTTTGTTTTTAACCACAGCTGCCAAAAAAATAGGCTGGAAAAGTAATGGCTGGAATTCAACACACTGAATAGTTAGTGTCACAAAGTTCGCCCCAGTTCTTCATTGCATTACGTAGACTGAGAAAGGGGAAAAAAAGGCTTTAAAAGTTAATGTGAGGAATAAAAAAAGATGAAGCAATAATGAAGTACAAAGGGTTTTTTAAAGTGTAAATGAGGTTTCTATGTGAAAATTAGTAGGGGTAAAGAAGTTATAATCAGAGCTGAAAGGTCCAAATTAAATTAAGTCTTTAATAGAATCATTTTGATTAATGCCTGGTTATCAGCTGAAAGATAAATCTTGGAGAGGGAAAAGTCAGGAAGCCTTCGTTGAACAGAGCTCGCACAGAAAAAAAACAAAAAACTTCACTGTTTTCTAAAGATATGATACTTCTACTGAATACGGTTATTAGTCACACACTAGAGTCATAGAGTTGTCGGCCCACTGATAATTGAAATATTAAATGAAAGCACTTTGAGGAGGATTCCCTCAGGATGCAGTAGTACGGAGTACTGTACGGAGTGAGACAGTGAGTGTTGGCAGCTTCTGGTGGTGAGCTCACATCTTTACACATCTGAAAGAAACACTATTTCTCTATCATCTCTAAATGGATTTGACCTTTATTACGTTTTATTGTTATTTGGGTTTTATTTATGTGGTAAACGCCTATCATAAGTTGCCTATCACCAATCAGCAATCTCATAATGGTGGATGAAGGTCTAAGAATCTCTAAGGAGGCAAACATTCTACCAGTTTCTTTTTTTTATTTCCACTTCTTTTGGCAAAAAAAGGGCAGATTTTAGTGCAAGAGAGGGAAACAATCATTTGGATTGTTAATAATAATGAATTCTAAATTCAGCAACCACAGTATGATTTATGGAGGTGCATCAGAAGCAATTGTCTACGGCAGCGTGTCCTAAAGTGGGGGGCAGGTCCCCACCATGGGGCGCAGAGCCATTGCATGAATGGTCCTGAAAGCTAAATAATTTCAAAAATGTGTCCCACTGTGAGTGAAGTGCACTTTTTTTTATATATTATCTATGGTCAATAAGATGATAAGTTTTGTAAGACTTATATATAATTTTAATCATGTAGCCAAAAGAATGTGAACGTTGCTTCAATATTATCAAAGTATTTTGTCAGTAAAACGCTGAAAGTCTTGTTATTGTCCCTTTGTCCTTTAAAAATCATTGAAATCATGATCAAGCCAATATGGTTTGTAGAATTAGAAAATGCACCACCATAACCCCCCCACCTCCCACCCCTCCCTCTCTGCCACATGTGCCAAGCAGATGCTCAGCCCTTAAACATGCCTTTTGAAATCTGTGTCCTTTATCCTGGGCCAGACAGACAGGGAGGAATTCAGCTCCTCACTCAGACTCTCACCTCAGCAGTTGTGCAGGTTTCTCCCGCTCTGTAAATATATCATATTTAATGTCTGATTTATATCAACTTGTCAGGGAGACCAATATTTACTCTGACAGAACTGCTGTGTGCAATTGTAAGGTTTTATTTCACGATGACAGAGCTGATTTGAAACTATTTCCATACAAACTCACTCAAGCTCCTCGGAGCGTATGCCACTGGGAAATAAGAAAATTCATAGAAATTAAGTTTCATATTCACACTTGAGCTGTGTTAAGCTGTTCTTTCATTCTGTCAGAGGTTTTATAGCACACACTGGTTCCCTGACACATGTTTCTGAAAATGACTGGGCTATGACTCTTGCTTTTGCTTTTTTTGTTGCAAGAAGGATTTAGTTTGAACAAAAATGTCTTTTTTTTTTCCTTGTATGTGTAAAATGTCAACACGCACATTTTCCTGTTGAATCTGTTAATCCTGTGTGTTACTTTTTACTTCTGTTGCTGCTATTTGAAGCTTAACTTTCTCACCTCCCCTCTCCCCCAACCTTCCCCTTCTTCTCACCTATCTCACCTCCCCTCACCTCACCTTTGCCATGCAGCCTCTGGGAGGAGAAGCTATATCTGGATAAAGAGACGGAGACTCAGTCCAAAGCTGCTGTAAGTTGCACCGTACAGCCGTGGGTTTCCGAAACATGTGGATTACTGCTGCATTGGCTGTCTTCTGATTTGGGCAGAATTGTTGGTTTCAGCCTCTAACTGGGCTTAACCCCCAAACCCTCCCCTCCCCATATAATGACTCACCGCAGGCTTACTCGGGGTGCAATAGAGCAACACGAGGCCAAAATGTTTCAATCCCTCCTTGTAATTCTGAAATAACATCCAAGCAGCCAAAGCCAGGGCAACAACAACCGTATGCCGATGATATTCTGGTATAAAAAGAACACATTTTTCACGGAGAAATTTTTAAAAGAAACCTTTTTTAAAAATGTACTATTCCACCTGATGCTGTGTGAATACCACACGGAGCTTCACTCAAACATGCTGCAGGCTGCATTAATACTGTATTGCTTTCATTATTCATTATTTTCCAACACTGGCCTGTGCAGGAAAATCTCCTGTAGCTGTTGACTCATCAGCACAAACAATTAGGAGTTTTAGGAGATTTTTTTTTTACACAACCTAATTAGACTGTGAGAGCACAAACAAAACACCCACAGGGCAGTAATTCACAAGTCACAAACGATACACTTTCAAGATTCACTGGCAGGTGCCAATTATTGTTGAACTAATGATTGCAAAAACAATTCATCAAGAAGGAGACGCAACTGTGTGTCTGTAAGTCGTAAACACTCATCTGTATAATTTAATGGTCATAAAACAAGAGACAGACTCAGCCAGGGCCGTCCAGAGTCGCAGTCACCTTAGTGGCGTCCACTGGAAGATTGATGCCCTTCATCAGGGCACCACGACAACAGGAGGCAGCAATATAAATTGAAGAAGGAAATTCTGATGTCAGTCAGTGTATTTATAAAACAGTAAAGTGCCTGGCCTGCCAGTTAAAATTGTTAATCTCATTCCTGAGCCAGTTTGCCTACTACTGTCTGAACCTTCAACCCCATTATCTTCTAATTTTGATCATATGAGAAGAAAATACTACCACTTAGTAGTATATACAGGCTTAAATATTCTTCCCTTTTGAAAAAAAAGAAAAAAAGAATTAGTAAATACTGGAAGAGGGCAGCATGTCTGCGAAACTTTAATTATCTATTAATTAATGACAAATGGGATTCATGTTTTAATCTTTCTATTTTAACAACAATTCGACCCTCGGCTCCTTTAAAGAAGTTCAGATCTGCAGCCAATTCCAACCATTCTTAGACAAAAGATGTATCTTTAGCTTTTTAAATTTTATTATTGAGACAATTTTCATCTGATGATATGGAACAGATGAATTCCAGCTGCTTCACTCCGAGTGAACGATAGCCCTTCACTGCCACTGTGTATATACATTATATTGGAACGTGAAGAATTCACTGCATCTTGGTTTCAGTAACAGTCTGTTCTCCACAGACTCCGTCCTTATCTCCTTGTCTTCAGCAGAAGTTTGGCCTCAGCAGGGGTGTGGTTACATTCTTCTGACACACAACTGGAACATTCATACTTTTCATTATTTAATGCTCTCAAGTGCTCCATTCGCGGCTTCTCCAATGAATATTCCTAATCTTTCTGCTGGAGGAAAACCATAAACGTTTTGTTCAAGTTAGACATTTCACTAGAATTGGGAACAGCTGCTACTGTCACTGCCGATCACTTAAATTTCCAGTTAAAAGTGAAATCGTTTCCACAACAGCAGATCTGCTTACTTCTGCAAAACATAAGCGTCAGTCAGACATGATATATGCACAGAGTGTTTAAAGTGACTTAATCTGCAAAACCAAAACCTGAGAGATGAGATCAGACATGTTTGGAATTAAAAAAAAAAAAAAGAATACATTTTTGTTTGATTGTTTCGGCCTGACTTGGATTAAGTTATCATCAACACTCATTGAAAAAAAATGTTGATTTGAGATCTGATGTTGTGCGGTTGTGGGTTCTGCAGGACCTGGAGAGTAGAAAACAAGCCCTGCAGAAAAGATCTGAAGATCTGAGGAAGGAGGTTTCACAGAGACAACTGGAAGTCAGGTATCTCATCACATGGGTCTCTTCATCTGAGTCATCCAGGTCTTTGGTTGTTTTCTTAGGATTCCTTCAGCTTTTATTTCTCAACTAAAAGTAAATCAGATCCAGTGACTTTTAGTCGATCTGTCCTCGTTGTTGTGACATGTTAAGAGCCTGTAACTGCACTGTTTTGGCTTCAAGGGTTCGTAACCTCAATTATTAACCGAGAGTTCATGAACTTTTTGGGCACATCTCGCTTTCGCTCTGCACAGAAGTCTCACAGATGACCTGAAGGCCTGTGAACACCAGATACAAAAGACACGGGAAGAGCTGGAGGACAAGAAGAAGACGATAGAGATCAAAGAGGTGCGTGTCCGGTGTCGTTTCTGTGTGAGAGAAACCTCAAGTTTCGGGTTACTTGAATCATCTACGTGTTTTCTGTTTCTGTGATAAGGCTGAGAAGGCACAGCTCATCAGTGTACCAGGCCAGATTTTAGCCAAGATCGAACGGAAGCGCTCACAAAAGGAGTAAGTAGGAGTCTTTTTCATCTTTGTAGGATGTGGTGGGAATACAATGAATAAACTTTGCTTTGAGATGAAAAAAAGTTTAAATCCCTCTTAAAGTTAAAAAGTCAGTACTTGAATAATACAAATCCATCTGTCGCTTTGCTTTAAATCACCACATTTCTCCATGCATCCCATTTACCAGACTGATAGGAACTGAAATGAAGGCTTCCTGAATCACACCATGGTATTTAGTTTTCCTATTAAACCAAGTGTGTGTGTGATAATTGTTTTCTCCGGGGTTCAGACCTTAATCTAACCAATTATGGAGCAGAAAAAACAATGTTAATGTTTTGGGGGGTTTTTTGGGAAAAAAAGCAACAATTTCCCCACATATCCTTCTACCCACACGCCCTCACGGTCCCGTCTCAACTGAAATCATGACAAATAGCCAGCATCTGAAGCAGAAATACAGTTGGAATACGGCGATATAACCAACGTATTCAAAATGAAAAGCATGTTTATTCATTTCATATCGAAGTGCATATGCAGTCAGAAACCCCAGAGCCACCAGAGAATGAAGTGAGTTCCATTCCCGGCATCACTGCAGCTTCTCTGTGTTTATACCAAATTAATATTTGGCTCCCATGCGCTGCAGTGGAGCCGTCGGTATGAGCTGTGCAAGCTTCAGTGTGACTCATGATTTGACATTCACAAAGCTGATTGGGACTGGAGGAGCTCCCCGAGTGTTAAAAGATGGATGCACACGCTGTTATTTCATGGGATATTCACACTGGTGGAGCTCTAATGGTGGCAGTGCAGCACATGCTGTTTCACGTCCTTCTAAAAAATGTGGTTTTCTGTCTCTCTGACACAACAAAACACCAGGGCGGCAATGAGGCAGATGGAGGAGTTAAAGGGCCAGATTTCAGAGATGGAGGAGCAGGTGAAGAAGGCGGAAGAGTTCAACCATTCCCTCAGGATGAAGAAGGAGGAGGTGATGCAGAGGCTGCAGGTTCTCCAGGCCCGACTAGAGGCTGGTCAGAAGGAGAGCAGACAGCTGCTGAAAGAGCAGGCGGTCAACAAGGAGGAGCAGGCGGAGATGTATGGAGCCAGGTACAAACACAACAAAACCTCAATAGTTTTAAATCAGGGGGGTCAAACTTACTTCAGTTCATCGGCCGCATAAAACCCAATTAGATGTCAAGTGGACCAGTACAATCATAACATAATTAACTATAAATAACAATAAATAAATCTAATGTTTCCCACCTTTATTTTCATGCAAAGAATTTCAAGTATATTATATATATATATATATATATTTATATATATTTAATGAAATATAATGTTCATTAAAAAAAATCCTGAAGAGTTTATGTAATTTTTTTATTTTCCAAATTCCTCACGTGGGCCAAATTGAATACCCTAGCGTGCCGGTTTTTGGTCCACGGGCCGTATGTTAGTCACCCCTGTTTTAGACAGAAATTGACTATTGGTTTGAATGTTGTGTTTTTAATGCCCCTTGCTGTGTTCTCCTTCACCAGAGGCATCCTGGAGCTGAAGCTGCAGAACATCATGTGCGACAGAAAGCATTTGTTTGAGAGACAATCCGTGCAGCTCAGGGAGAAGAATAGGTACAGTGGGGAATTTCATAAACCACACCACACATGTAAATGAGCCTGCTGGCACTGCATGTGGATGCATCGTTTGTACACGCAAAAATATACAGTAAATACACATTGTTCTGAGAGAGGGTGGAAAAAAAAAAGAAAGTTCTGGCTTTTGATCACCAGCTGCTGTCGCTCTCCTCTCATTATGTGATTCTATTTTTACGCTGTAGTTTAAAGAGCAAAAGTTCAGCACATTTCTTCAGGTGTGTGTTCTATATATACAGAGCCAGATTTTAAATGATGCAGCCTAGAGTGTCGGAGGCGTTAAGTGGTACATATTTAAAATGTGCCTGTGTGTTCTGGTCTCAGGCAGATGCAAACGCTCAAGAGAACGCAGCACGCATTGACCTTCGCCACCGAGCAGCTACAGCACACGCAGACCATCTACAGCGACCTTCAGGCTCAGGTGAGGTGTGACTGTGGAAACACTTTTCAGAGAATACAGAAGGAATGTGAGCCTGCAGGTTGAAGACTGACAAATTTGTTTTTAGATTTTGTTAAAATCTAAATGCTAAAATCTGCTGCGAAATGTTCAGACTTTACCAAATGTTTAATACTAAAAACCTAGGTTAATGATTCAATAAAAGCAGCATCTAAAATTCCAGTTTCTGATTAATCTTTTTTTTGATTTTATCTGAAATTCCAGTTTCTGATTAATCTTTTTTGGAAGTGGAAACTTAAAATAAATAGTTTGGCATAAAAAGGACATAATTTAAAAGTATAATTCATTGCAGTGCAAATACTTTTTTTTATTTCCTAAGTGAAAGCTTTTTAACAAATCATTAAAACATTACAGAATTATGCTTATTTTATTCCAATTAAAAATATCCTATAATTTCAATTGCTGTTGCTAGTAGCATAGAAAATTAGAATTACTGAAATTGAAGTAATTCTAATTGATTAGATTGCATTATTTCAGTGGAGCTTTGGCCCAGAGGCAAATTATTTCAGTGGTGTTTGGACCAGAGGCAATGTCTCTGTCATTGGTGTGGAACCTCAGGGTTCACCTCCTGGGCAGGATCGAATCCCGGTTAGGGCGGTTGGTACCTTCCAGGTAACCCGGTAACAGATAAGCGGATGAAAATGGATGGATGAATTATTTCAGTGGTGTTAGCCAACACTTAGCAATGTCTCAGAGCAGAAATAACCAGGCAGTCAAAAAATGACTGGACCACAATGACAATCAACCAAAGACTTGCTGATTGATGGCCTTAAACCTTAAAAAAAAATTAAAACAAAATAGTACAGAATGACAATAACAAGCTGTAAAGTTGAAAGAAATTAAAACAAAATAGGAAAGAATGACAATAACAAGCTGTAAAGTTGTCAGAATGACATAAGGCAACATTGAAAAAAGTAACAAGGTTGTTTGCTTTACTGTTGGCAGATCTTAGGAATATTTAGGATTTGCCCTTAAAAACGAACTAAATAAATAAATAAGTGAGAGTTAGTTTTCAAATATTTTAAGTGAAAAAACCTCCGTGCCACAAACAGGAACATCAAGTCATTAATCAGCATTAGACCAGTTGTATTTTTGGGTCGTATAGATTCCTGGTATTTTCCTCAAGTTCAGTTTTCAAAAAAAGAAAGAACGTGCAAAAAGGCTCATGGGAAACGAATGTCACAAGCAAATAACAGCTCGAAAGGAAATTTGTGACACATGAGGGAATCTTTGAATACTGGGAAACAAAGCAATTGTGCAACATTTAATCATAAATGTGTCGCTGACATTTACATCAAAAGAAAATACATTTTTAATCAAATGTAAAAAACTGTTAATTACGGCCTCATTTCTTTGCTGACTGTTTTTGAAGTGTGTGGCGTTGGACCTAGAAATACTGCATCCCACATGTAGCTGGAATGAAACTTGTGGAACATTCCTTATATGAAGTGGGGTTTTTTTTTTTATTTTTATTTTATGAAGGCCGTTGATGCAGTTTTTCTTCTTCCACGGATGAGTGATCTTTAAATGTGGAGCCGTGCAGCTCATACAAGTGAACATGAAGCATGGCAGCCCTGCAGAGAGGTGCATCGCCTGAAGGCATTCATTTTTTATAAGCTTCACTGAACACTCTTGCAGCCGCTCGGTCTGAGGGCCATCAGAGTGGCCTGAGGGAAACTCTGATATATAGTATTAATTATTTTTCAGCCCGTGTTTAATGTGGGATTGAATATGCACTGAATGTATTTATGATGCTGTTTGGTAACCTTTTGTTCCCAGGCCTCATCGTCCCTTCATCTTTAACATGTAGAGTCAATGGGCCTGAGAATTTTTTATTTTTTTTTTACTAACTACATCATGTGCGAGAAGTCGAGAAAAACAAGTTTTGATGTTTCCTTTTCAACTTTACAAATTCCCAGCTGGAGGCCGTGGCCAAAAGTGAGGACAGTATTCAACAGAAGATGGAGCTTCAAAAAGAAGTGGATGTTCTTAGAGTGGGCTTTGAAAAACAGGTGGGCAAAAAAAGAAATCACAAGTGTCCTGTAGTTTGATATATTTATGTAAATAACACCTAAAATTGTCGAACATTACGTTGTCGACACACTGTTATACTCGATACATTTGTGACAAGAAACAACATTTTTCTCCTCAGGCAATTTTCTCTGTTTTGCATTTCTCCGAACATTGTCTTGAGGGAAAACAGCTGCCCTTTGCACAAAAAAAAAATCATCTCAGCTTATTTCCTTTATCTGTTCTCCTTTTATCAGAAGCATGTCTCCTGTGAGAAGCCCTTCAATTTATTCAAATATGAGCATCATAGTGTTTTTTTGTTATTATTCCCAACCAGCTGCTGGTGGCAGAGAAAGAGAGCCGGAGAAGGCAGCAGTACGGGACGATCCAGGAGCTGCTGGGGGAGTCCAACCAGCTCAGAGAAGAGCTGCACAACCTCCGCTGCCTCACCAAGATCAAGGCCGAAGAGCGGGGGCAGAAGCACCGCGACCTGCTTAGAGCTGAGGTACAAAGGTCGGATATTCTCCCGACCGGATAACGTACCCCTTATTTAAAATGTTGGAGATTATTGACAGGTTTTCAAGCACACTGGTCAAACGGCCCCAGCCTTTTTTTATGCAAAACTGATATTTAAAATTGTCCTTTCGCTGTATACCTGCCCCAAAGCTTTGAGTTGCTGCCAGGTGTAGATCGGCCCAACAGATTATTTCGAGTAGTTAAACAGGTGTACTTATTGAAGGGGGCAGCGAGGTGGGTCGCACATAATCACCAAAAATTAAAAATAAATTCCCCTGAAATGTATGAACTCTGTTGGGTTAGACGTGAAATACTGATGGTTTAATTTCAGCTCTGCTAAAATATTATGACATTCATTGAAAATTCATGGCAAATATTTGATTTTCACTGGTCTGATCGTTATGGACTGAGAGTAAGCAGCGAGAAACTAAATCAGAATATTGATCACTGTTGGAAAATATATATTTTTTTAAAAACAGGATTAATGGGTAGTATTTATTCCCTCTTCTGCAATATTAAAAAAAATATCACGGATGAGTTTGACTGATGTCTGATATTTATGAGCCTCAGACACACACACTCAGAGAAACATTAATACACAGAAGTGATAAATCTGTGGTTTGACTCCTGCAACTTCTCCTACAGCAACTGCAGCAGTTTATCCACAACGAAGTGCGAGAGAAGCACCTGATCATCACAGACCAGAACAAGCTGAATGCTATGCTGCAGAACAGGTGTCACCACTGTTTTTTTGTTTTCCTTGGTGTATTTCCGATGTTGAAGCCTGATGCAGTACAGTGGAGTCAGATTTCCCCCACGTTTTCTCTTCCCTCCGATGTAGTGTATTGATGTAACCAGTTCTTGGGCCGATAATTGATTCTGTTCTTGTTGTTTTTGGCTCCGCTGATGGGTGTAACAGCTGGGATCACAATTAATTTCAGACATCTGCACATTTGTCGGGGTATCAAACCATGACTTACTAATTGGTCATACTCCAGTGTTCTCGATAATGTGCATGGCACCGCATATTGTTGTACAAAAGCAGACGCCTGACGTACCACGTTTGACTGGGAGACAACAGATTACAACATGTCTGGTGTTGCAGTTGTTAATCAGTCGAAAATTAGAGTGGGTCAGAAGCTTTTAATTGTCCATATTGGACACTTTCACTGTACATTCTTTCATTTTCCATGGTCATTCAGGGATCAATCTAGGTGCCAATGGATGCAAGTACTAGTAATTACCCGAAACCTAGGATGTAAAGACTTGGACTTAAACTGGGGATCTGCAGATAATTGGCAAATTGAGATTTTTATTAATAAAAGTTGTAGCCATGGTATAGTTAGTACAAAATGTACATAAAAAATATATAGAAAATTTGAACTACATGAAGGAAAATACTTTGGTTTTAATCATGTTCTCTTCCTCGCAGACTAATAAAATACTCCAAACTATGTGACATGATCACGGAGGAGAAGACGAAGTACGTGAGGCTGAAGCAGATCGCCTCACAGACCATCACAGAGTTAATGGAGCAGCTGAAGGTCCTTGAAAACGAGACGGAGATCCAGCGCTCTATAGTCGTTAACAAGGACAGGTGTGTGCATGTGTGTCAAGTTGAGTGTGCGAAATAACGAACAAACAATCTCCCGTTGTTGAACATAGTTTGACCTTGCCCCACAAATGCAATACAGATCAACAACAAATCAACACATCCTGACTCAACAATGCCAACGTTCTACTGAATGTAATGATTGTTGACTATTTACAGTTTCCTACATTTTTTTGGCTCAAAGTTCGCATTTACCATGTTTACTACTTTTTGCTTTGTTTGCACTTCATTAATTGTTGACATATTGTGTACATACTGTCTTAATTAGGGATGTCCAATATTTACTTTTTGACAATGTCCAATATGCGGATATTGTCCACATACCTAACTTCCGATTCCGATATCAACCGATACCGATATAGGCCTGGTAGTATTTATTAATTATCTGTACAAACCACCATATGAGTATGAGATTGATTAAATGAGCTGCAATGCTGCCATCTAGTGACTTTCACTTTAATATAGCCGTTTATCTCCATAAAACACATAATTTGGCAAAATTCAGGCATTGCAATATCGGGTTTTCATTATATGAAGAAAAACCGATAACGATTCTTACAGATATTACATAATATGCTAATATCGAGCCCATAATATCGGTCGTCCGATATTATCAGACATCAGTAGTCTTAATATTTTCTAAAAGTTAATGTCTTGGGTCTTTATTATTTACTCAGTACACTTTTTCGAAATACTTAAATAATAAACATTTTTGTCTTTTAAAATATTAGAATTTTAGATATGCTACATTTTGTATTTCTATTACTGTTTCACCTGCTAGTGTATTCTGTCCTAACATTTTGGACTGTGCTTTTTGGTGTATATTTTTCTGTAGGTAGTTTGCAATTTTCCTTTCTTTTGTTTTTCAATTATTTCAGCTATTTCTTTTGTTTATCACCAAATCCCAGATCCCTCACAAAGTCCCGTATGAAGCTCTCCAACTGCTCCACAATGAGGGACAAGCTGCGTAACAACATCTCCAAGGTCCAGACACACACACAAAAAATTGAGATGGGCTCAGTCCAAACAGACTGCGAAGGAAAAAGCAACTCAGCTTCTAACTTTCTTTTTCTTTTTTTCCTTTTTTTTTTGCTATTAGCCAGTTAGCCGTGTCAGGAAACAGATGAACGCTTTGACATAGGAAACTATAATTCAGAGGGACAGGGTTGAGTCAAAGCTGTTGACTGTTTTTGAGTAAGTTTAAAAAAAAAAATCTGTAAGTCTTTCGTCAACAGCTTTGATTCAAACAGGCGCCAAGTTTCCTTTGTTTACAGCTCGTCATCAGACAGGAACAGACAATGAAACAGATTGTCTGCTAAAATAAAGATAATCTATTGTAGTTATTTTTCCCCTCCAGGTTGCTTGGAAGCACCATCAGATCAGTGAACAGATTGACGACAACAAACTGGAGCTGGTGAAACTCACGCAGATGATCAACCTGCAGGAGCAGGCACTGGTGGAGATGAACAAGAATCATGAGAATGCCGTGCAGCATCGCAATTTTCTGTGGGTTACAACGCGCACGATGTACACAAAATTTAAAACAAGTTCAACAAGCATCTGATATTTGTGTCACTTTTTTATTTAAATACAGCGGCATCCAGCTGCTGGAGCACGAGGAGGTGATATTTAACTACCATGAAAAGGTGCGCGTCCAGGAGGCGGCCATCACTAAAGGCAGCCTGGAGCTGGAGACACTGGAGAAGGAGGTCAGAGATCTGAAGACGGCCATTAACGAGGGGCGTCGACAGCTGGAGCTGAGGAGGAAGGAGGTGCCTGTCAACGGGAAATTGGAGGGAGAGCTCGTCATGTTGCAGATAGAGGTAGGAGTCACATGACATCACGCAACTGAGCTAAAATTAGCTTGAAGTGTATGTGCCGTATTGGTGGGGTGTTGAGTCTGGAATCTATGGAGGAAAACACTCAGACAAAAGGCCAACAAACAGTCACAAAATTCACTGCTTAACAAACATAACTGATTATTTACATGGTTCTGGCCAGAGCTTGAATGCACGTCATAGGTTTGTGTAGAATATTAAACAAGAATTTGCATCACTGCCAAGACACTCAGATCTCGCATTCCAGTAAAGCTGATTGTAGCCAGACGGTGAAATAACAGAGCTCTGCAGACGTCGTTAGAGAAGGAAGTGAAGGCAACATCAGATATACTGTAGTTCCACTGGTTTAAAACTTGAATAATAAAACACATCCCTTGTCTTTTGATCACTCTTTAAAATCGTTTTCAATCTGGAGGTAAATCTGGAGTACAGGCCGACCAGTCATGTCGTATATGTTCGCGTGTCTATGGATATAGCACTTTGATGATATATTTTTTGCCTTGATGGTTTTTTCCATTTTCATTTGTAAGTGATCTGTAGTACAATAGAACTGAAGGAGCATGAAGACAGTGTTTTTGGTTTAAAAACTGGTATTTGAATGTGTTTTTTTTAACTATGGTTATTAAGGAGAAATTATTTGAATGTATTTGAATGTGTTTTTTTAACTATGGTTATTAAGGAGAATGCAGCTAATACCAAAACAAGCATCAATATCGGGCCTAATATTTTTGTCAAATATTATTACATATGTGGCGCTTTGGCCCAGAGGCAATGTCTCTGTAATTGGTGTGGAACTCCAGGGTTCACCTCCTGGGCAAGTTCGAATCCCGGTTAGGGCGGTTGGTACCTTCCAGTGGACTCACCACCCGCAGGAAGGTTTGGGGGGTTGGTGCGGTGCAATGTGATGTGGGTGGCGACTGCTGCCCCCGCGACCCGGTAACGGATAAGCGGATGAAAATGGATGGATGGATGGATTATTACATATTGAAGAATATGTGCTGATCCACTGCTCCATTATAGCTTTCCTACACAACCAGCTGGTCACTGGTTAACCAGTGTGGTGTGTTTCCCTACTGCAGTTCAGTGTCTCATTCCCCTCAAGGCTAGTTTATTTAGGAAGGTCACCGATGTCAACAGTTTGGAGTTTAATGTCACATTTAATAGATGTGGTGTTTACTCCCCACCAACTCACTGTGTGTTAGTTTTATTTATTGTGACATGGACGTACTGTGGTGCTACACAGTTTAAGCGACACTTTGTTTACTTGAATACAGGAGACAGTGTATTCATTTAAAATGCATAATTGGTGTAAATGTTCCACTCACTTCCTGTACAGTTGGCTGCATTTACTACACAAAAAAAGTTTTAACGTCCCTTAGTTGTTTTTTTTTTTTTTACTTTCTTCCATCACTAGTTTTATGGATATTTTCTCTCATTCGACAACAGTGTCAGTTTGAAGAGTTTCTGTTCAATACGTGTTACAATAAGTGTTTCTTGGTATTGAGATAAGCTTAGCGTAAGACTTAAGAGTCATCATCAGTGTTCACGTTGATGAATGTGTCAACTCTTCACTTTACTGGCAGTCATGAGTCATTTAACTCTAATTCTTTCTTTCATTTCCATTTTCAGTTCTAAGTAATGGAACTATTTCTGTGCTCCCGGTAATTGTCACCACGTTTTTCAGAACCGGTCTTTACCGCCTCTCCTCTCCATAGTTTTATCACTTAGGGTTTTAATAACGAGGTGCTGAAACACATTGTGATGCAGTTTTGTTTGTGTCTGCAGGCTTTGAAGACGTGTCATTTTAGGTTTCTACGTCGCTGCGTGATCAGATGGTGACGCTTGAACTGCAGGAGCAAACACGGAGGTGTGTGTGTGTGTGTGTGTGCTGGTGTTACAAAGTTTCACACACACACAAACATCACACGCACATTCCTCCGTGTGCGTCACACTGCAGATGCGGTAATTATTTTAGCCCTGCCTCGGGGGCCACTGTTGCAGGGAGTGTGTGTGTGGTCCTCGTCGATAACTTTTGACACTGGGATAATTTATATGATGTTGATAAGAATCAGTTCACTTCATAGAGTGGTATATATGTGTAACTACAGCAGGCTAATTGACTCTGTCTGTATGTTAAGCTCCTGAAACAATTAGCTACATGTTTTTACTGTACTCCAGGGGGGTCCAACGTTCTGCAAGCTGGGGGCCATGTTCAATAATGTTAAAATACCCCAGGGGCAGCTGCTCCATCTGGTACACTTGTAACTGTAGCTGCCATAAAATTGCAAAAAAAAAATTCTTTAATAACAAAGGTCTTCACTGTAATGGTAATGTAATTCAACGGCACCCAAGCCACCCAGGGTTTTCAAACGCAGAACTTTTCATCTTTCTATATCTATTAATATCAGGTCAACAAAATAGGTAAAAATGATATGACAAAAAAAATTGAGGTTATATGAAGAAATTGCTAAATGTAGACCAGATCCAGATAAAACCTGTTAAGGTATAATAGAGAATAGCAAATAATAATAATATTAAATAAATAATTCAATTGAGGTTTAAGCCAGAAATGGTCATGACCAATATTTGTCATTTTGGGCTGCCGTTAAAACTACAAATATTGAGAATAGGAATACACAAAATTTGTAGACAACAACCTACAATAGGATAGAAAATAATATCCTAAAATCTATTACAGCTTTATGTTTGCATTAACATAACTTACCTATTTAAAAAAGTAAAATAAAGTTATTGTCCACAAAAAAGTTTTCCATGTACCACAAATGATCCTCGGGCCAGACATTTGACAAGGCTGTTGCAGAAAACATTTTCAATGGATTCGTCTTAGATTTTCCTTTCTGTGTTCTTTCTTTTTTTCTCTGTCATTATTGGAGAACATTTTTGTTTGGATTTCTTTTTTCTTCTTCATCAATGCAGTTGTCGGTAAACTCAGTTTAACACTGTATCAACAGCGGTCAGTTTGGTTTTTGGAGTTCGTCTCCAGCTTCTGTGTTTTTGGCGTGAACCGACAGCAAGTATTCCAGCGCCCCTCTGAAGTTATGAACAAAGGCTGAAAATGTATTTATTTTTGCACCCAGAACCCCAGAGACAGAGAGGCACAGAGAAGATGAAGATGGAAAGCAAGGAGGGGGAAAAAAACCTAAAGCTCCACAAAAGGCTTAGGGTTTCTCAGAAACTGACTCAGACACTTGAATAAATAACATAAAAAAATAACAAACATATCCAAGAGCGTCTGCGGTGCTCACAGAAATACAGATGCACGGGAGAAGAAGAAGAAGAGAATAGATTTGAGAGAGAGAGAGTCACGATAAGTTTCCTGCCAGCAGGGGCGTCGAGGGATTGGGTGTGTTGCTGCTCTGGATCACAGTGGCTGGGTTTAACTTGCTGCTGGACCAGAACCCTCTCATCTGAGTCTTGTGCTCTTCTGGATGAACGCAGTGTTGGAACACACTCCCATCATGTGCTGTGTGGGTTTTTTTCCCCTCCGTCTGTTTACTCCGTCTGTTCTCCACAAATCCCTACAGTCGGTGTGTGTGTTGCTGTCATGTCTTTCCCTGTCATTCTTATTTCCTTCAGTTTCTTTCATCATTGTGAAGTCATTAGGCGTCGTACTCTACCCCCCCCCCACCCGTGGTGCACCAAGGGGTGCGCAGATGGGTACAAGTGCACTACTTAGCCTCACAGGCTCTTGCGTTCCATTGTTACATTTGCGTCCACAAAGTCTCCCTTCTGAAATGCAGCCGGCCCAGAAATGAAACACTGTTGCAGTTTTCCAGCTGGTTCATGGAGGGAAAACACAATAGGGTCCAAAAGTGACAACACGGAAAGTCTTTCTTTTAAAGTATGAATTATCATGAAGTATCATCAGGTCTTGTCCTGTTTCAACATTGTTCTGCACATGAGCGAAACAAACACAAGACTGTTGTTAAAGATGATAGGATCAGAGAAATGTGTCTTGCTAGTGCCTGGAGCCTCACACTGTACAACAACACTGTACCAGAGCAGTGAAACAGGGCTTTATTTTAGGAAACATTTGGACCAAATTGTAAACCGAAAACTTGACTTTGACATTTTGTGTTTGAGAAGTTTTGGAATTTGTTTGTGACAAATAGCAGACTCAGACGCCTGCTTCTGTGCCTTGTTTCTTTCTTCTTTTGTTATATGGCAGATCTGCACTACTACTACTGACAACTTCATGGTCTGTTAGGAAAGAAAGTAAAAATAGGTGTCCTCCAACAATGCAGAACCCCTGCAGAATGGAGAAGAGGTTAATTGTTTCTTCTGGTGTGAATTTGAGTGTGAATTGTTTTTTTTTTTCTGGGATGCACTGCAGAGCTTCTGGCTGCTGGTGGTATTGGTTTCAGCTCCCACTGTGAACCTGAAGACAATGAAGTGGTAAAAGATAATAATACATATATAATGATTCTGTTTTTCACTTTTCCATTAATGGACCTGTGAATCCAAATTATAGACATTTATATCAGTGACAACGGCAGCTTCTGATCAGCTTTTAATACAGCTTGATCAAACTCACTGAACACAGTTGATTAAATTAGGTCATAATAGTCACAAAGCTCATGGCGTTAACAACCGGAGGAAAATCCTGGCAGTGGTTCATTTGAAAACAGTCCAAAACTCCTCCTTCGAGGAGGGCCTGAAGGAAGATGTTGAGTCCAGACTATATTTCAAATCCAGCCGTCACAGACACCACCGACCACAAACACCACCAGGGGAGTCGAGGCTCCGTGTGGTGGTTCAACAAGGTCATTGCGAACGCATCCTCAGATTTGTAAAACTTAAAATTTACCACTTGCACTACATCCCGGATTAGTGCTGGAATCCATCCGTCTTCTCATTCATCCATCCAGACATTCCACATTTCTCTCTCCGTCTGTCTTGTGTGTGAATTGCAAATCATTTCCAAATCACACTTTTTCTTTTTACTGCCTCCCCGGGCACAAAAA